ATCTACAACTAAGCAAGCAATACCAACTAAACTGAATTAAGTTAATTGAACAAAATCAGAATCTTCTCTACTTATCAGGTCTCTTCTAAAACTGACAGAGAATGGAATCTTTTAAGGCAGTCAAAAATTGGTGAAGCTTCTGTTTTGGTTAAGCTGGCCAATTTTGGAAAATACCAACCTAGAAGTAAACTAAAGCAGTGCAGGAAAACAGTCAGTGGAGACAAGGAGATAAGGCTGAAGCAAGTAAGTAGGAGTTATCAATTGATACTACCACTACCATATTCTTGTAGGAATGCTTGATTTTGCAAACATTTAAAAAAAAACCCAAGTTGTTCCCCTTTCTGTGTAATATTTCCTGACTCTTCAGTTCAGTACTCACGAAGTAACGACACAACAGATTTGCTAGCATACCTAATAATCAAAAAAGCATATTTGAGGAATATTATTTAAAATGTTCTGGTTAAGTTTACATAGAAATTCTAATTGCCTCCTCAGATACTAATAATTTACTAAGAAATTTCCTTATGGTTTGAACTTGCTGGGCTTAATGGCAGTTCATTTAAGAAGTGATTCCTTAAATCTTCTCTTCACAGTTTGGAGCACACTGTTGTCTATACAAAGAAATGTCTTTGTTGTTTAACTCCAGCAGAGAACAGGCAAGAGGACCAGGGACAAAAGGTAAAAAAAACAGTTATTCTAATCCAGATATTGTAATTACATATTTTATAAGTAATGCATTCAGTATGCTGTGCATATGAGAGAGACACTCTAGTGCACAGACTGACACATACAAGGATCACATATGATCACGTGATAGAGCGGTGCTTCTAACAATGTTTATATTCTAAATTTTGTACCAGTGTTCTAATCTAACTCCTTCATTTACTGTAAATTCGAATCTCTAAACTGATTTCAAAATGTAATTTTAAGCACAAGAGCTGCTAGCAATAGTTCATGAGACGTTTTTTGAACATTACCTGCTGCAGGGAATGCTGAATCAAAATTTCTTTTTGAAAATCTTTGCAAAGCCCCTTTAGTATCAGCCACTGTTGTTTTAATAAGACAAATTATTGAAATCCATATTCATGTTCAGGCACACCAATATTTATAATTTATATTTAATAATTATTTGTTTATAAAGGAAATATGTCATATATTCCCTGAAGGAACTGTAAAGAGCTGTAAAAAAAAGTCACTGAATGGAACACATTTGGAGTCATGGAATGGTTTGAACTGGAAGGGACCTTTAAAGCTCTTCTAGTTCCAACCACCCCTGCATGGGCAGGGACATCTCCTGCTAGATCAAGTTGCTCCAAGCCCCATCCAACCTGGCCTTTGTAGTCAACAGTATTCAGGTAAGGAGCAAAATGTTAAGACTTGCTAAAACTCTAATGTGTATACTCTCCCTGCCATAAGCCAGCTCACAAGCAGGCAGTGCCCATGACAGCGGGCAGCACGGCTGGTGTGGTTTGCCAAACTGAACCTCAAAGGCGTGTGACTCCAGATGCAGCCAACTGCTCTAGAAAGAAACTGCTACTTGAGTGATGGGACATCATCAGATTCTTTCCAATTAGAATAGGTTCATTACACATGGCAAGTGTATTTCAAATCTAATGCACTTTTAATCACTGTCTCTTTCACTCTGTATTAAGCTAAAATTTAATTTTTACTATTGATACCTCCTTCCCATCACATTCTCTTGCTGTTGAGGCTATGGATATGGGTAACAACCAGCTTCTCTGAATTAGGTTCTCAAGACCCACCATGCAAAAAAGGACCTTCCAAATAATCACTTCAGATTCATGTCATTTGGCTTTAAAATGTTGCCATTATCCCAAATCCCACTCCCAAAGACAGTAAAGTATTCATACTCAAGACCACATGTTTTGCAGCACAAGTGCTGTAACATACTGGTCCCACTTAAGGTATTATGCTCCTACTTAATTCAATGGCAAGCTTCCCATTTCAGTGTATGAGAACTGGCCAGCTGATGATTCCCAGTGGGATAAAAAGTATGTCTTCGTCTCTTTCTGCACAACACTAGCATGTGACAGAAGTGTTTTGCCAATGGAAAAGTCTGTACAAGGTCAGCAGGGATGTTGCTGAGAGGTCTAACACATCAGCCAGTGAGAAAATATTGCTGAAAACTACTCTGAAAAGCAAATAATTCCATACATATCTATGGACAGGGCAGTCTATAGCTTCATTTACAATTCACAGAGTCTAACCTTAAATTGTCACAAAGGGATTTTGCTTCTAACTGTAAAAAACATACTAGAGTAAATATAGAGACTGATTAATACATTAATAATAGTTATTAATAGCTATTACTTAGCAGTCTGAAACTGGGCTCCTTTCTGAACACACACATACAAGAAAAAAGATGTTTCCTGGGGAATTTTTGATCCACCTTATGGCTCTACATGACATAGCTCATTTTGGCTCACTACGAAACAACAGTTAATATCACAGGCCACTCTCAATTTGACTGTTACAAAATGTCCCTTTATCAGATTGACACTCTTCCCACAGTAAAGATATTGAAGAAACGGAAAACTTAAAAAGATTTTTAGCTGGGAGAGTGGGTGTGCAAGAATAAGACAAGATTATACTTGTTCTGTTTAAATTAATTCATTCAGAAACAGGAGAACATCAAAAAACAAAACCTAAGGAGAAGAAAACAGAAAGAACGCTGCTGAATTTTCTTTCTAGGTGTACAGAAATAAAATAATAGAGATCACTAGATGCACAAGAAATCTATGATTTTGTAGTTTTTGTGAAAAGCAAATTACTTAGATAATAAAAAATTAAATGTTCAAAGTTCAAGCCTTCTGCTTATTACCATAAAGAGAAACCAGAAAATAGCAGAGTTGAGTTTTCAAGCTTCCCTGTAAAAATGTGCATGTCTACATTTTGAATGTTGTTTTATCAGTGAGAAATTTGTGAACACCAATATGCCAAAAAACAACCTCCCATTTACCATTTCACTTGTCCAATAAATTGATAGATAAACCTTTCTATAGTTTCACTTTTCCTGTTAGAACATGTTCAGTCCTGTCCTGGTGCAACTCACCTGCCTCAATAAACCAAGTTTACTGTGTAACAGTGTAAGCGGAGAGACTGAAGTCCTTCTAGCTGGAACTACAGTCTCAAGAATTCCTAACAGGGGAAGGAGTTGGCACATTTAGCAGAATAAATCCATACCAGCAGCTTAAAAATTAAACATATTAAATGGATAAAAAAAGAATAAATAAATAAATATGATAGCATAAACCAAGAGCTCAGGGCATAAGAAGACATGGAGTAGCATGGGAAAGAAGAACTGTGCTACTTTCCCATACATGCCAACAGCCTGGCTATTTCTAAGCAAAAAATGTTATTCTTTTTCTGTCCTGCCCATTGCAAAAATGTACAGGACATTTTAACACGGTAATGGGAATTTTTCTGGCAGCTGTTTTCAGATGCTGGCATGTCAATTACATTCAACTCCATTACTTTATTTATTAATAATGAGGGTACTTTTGCTATCCTGCCAAGAAAGCTGCCTTCTCATCCATTTTCTACTGAATGTACAAGTATCTATGGAAGCTCTTTAGATAGAACTATTGTTTTGTCATCAAACAAGGCAGTGCTCATGAATGCTACACACAAAAAAAATTAATGCTAGCATACTTAGGTGTATATAATGTATTAAAAATACATTTGGATGAAACCAGGACAAATTAGAACTAACAAGATCATTCTATAAGATCTGACATTTGGTTTTCTGTGGGTAGCTTATATTATTTCTTTACTGGTGAAGAGTAGCTTTTTTTGGTAAAATCAGGGAGTGCACAAAACAGTTCAGACTGTTGACCTCAATAAACTCCCATCTACAGGCAAGTGTTTCTATAGAACTAAGCAGGAATTAGGGAGAAGAAAGCAGAAATGAGGAGAGAATTCAATAGTGAGCACTTTCCTTTCTTGTACTTGAGCAGCAGGTGAGATACTTACCACCCAGAAGTGAGATAAAGGAGCTGTCAAACACAAGTATTTGAAACTTCCAGTAGAGCTAGGTACTTCTAGTAATAATTACACCCAGCGAGCAAGAGAAGTCTCATGGAGCTCCTTTTTTTTTTTTTTTAATTTGCTTTGGCAATTTTAAAGACAGATCTAAGGATGGACTGATAGGTTAAGAGAAATTTAAGGGCACGGGGCAGGTTTTACACATCTCAACCAAATCCTCTCTCCAGCCCACTCAGCAGAGTTAGCTCCAAAAGAGAAGTGCAAATGTAGGCAAACTAAGGGCTTTGAAACGTGGGAATATGAGAGGTTACAACAGCGAATGGCACAGTTCACAAATGCACACAAAAAAGACATAGATCTGCAGAAATTCTACATAATCTCTGATTTTCAGCACACTAAACAGATCTAGAAATATACCACAAATTGCCATGATGTTACTGTAAATATTCCAGTATCCACTGTGGTTTTGAGTTAAGGACCTGCTACAGAATAAACAATTGTAAAGATGACCTTGCATTCTGCAGATACCACCTCAATACCACATTATCTCAACACAATTTTTATATACTTTCACTTTAAAGTAACTGAATTTTTTGGGCAACCTGAGGATGCTCTTTTCTCCTCAAGCAGACTGGATAGGCTTTACAGAGATGAGCATGCCACTTGGCTGGAGTCCTGAAAACTCAGAGGATAACGATGTTGAAGTGTAATCACCACAGTGGAACCAAGAGGAAACACTAAACCTGAGTCAGATGGACAGGGAAATAGATGGTAACAGGTCTACAATACTTGCCATGCGAGACCAAGCTGGAATTACAAACTGTCAGTTAGTTCTGATGAAAATACCTGTTTAGTGATTCCTTTCTTTTTTCCTCTCTTCCCTTCTCTTGTTCTTGACATCTATTTCACATTGTTTAGAATGCCTTTCCTGGAATAACCTCCACCCAGTTGTACTAGCACACAAAGAATTCTTTCCTCGCTAAGATGCAACTTACCCAAATAGTTGTTGCTCTTTGACATCTCAGTAATGTTGATTTTAGTAGCTCCTTCAGGAATTTCCACTATCTTGTGGTAGCCAAGATTTGTTAGCGTGTGTTTGAAAACTCCAGACACAACCTTGCAAGCAGTGTTGTCCCCTCCACATATTCCACACTTGTCAATCACTTTGTCTGAACCCAGATAGTCATCACAGCCAATGCTCTGCAAAATAAAATAAAATTTCTTTTTGCAAATTCTTACAACTGCGAACTCTGGACATAACATCCAAGGACAGTATGATTTTCACAGAACATTCAACCCTGATAAGATTGTGATTGTTTTTCCGTATGCAAAAAGGCAGTAAAACTCAGAGGGTTCACAGATCTGGGGACTTTAACTGATAGGATTTTACAGCCTGTTATCAGAAATACAAGAACACACTGAGGAACCCTAATGCATTGATCATTGCTGATTACACCCTTCTCAGCTGGAACAAAAGCACCTCTTAACAACATAATTCCAGTAGCTGCTAGTCAGAAAAGAGGTGAAGAGCTATGATTTTGTTATGATCCAAAATGGGCTTTTTACAAAAGCAGAACTACTTTATATATAAAGTGTCTTCTTAATCTCCTCTAAAATTGAGCACTGAGCCTATTCTCACCAAAAAAGGTTTCTAAAAAGTCTTTATACTGTGTCTAGAGAGTTATAGAAGCAATCCTGCTGTTCACTTAGTAGAAAATTTTTAACCCACTCAGTAACACCACTTGGACAGGATAGCTTAAAAAAACCTAAATAATTTAAAATAATGTAAATTAAAAGGCACAAAAATGTTAAATATTTTACTCAAACCAGAGAAGAAAAATCTTTCCAAGTTACTGCACTTCAAAAGTGCACATACTGCAGGGACTGTCTGCTCTTGTAAAGAAACACTTCTGTTAGTTGATGTTGCTGGTTTGTATTTACAGAGTTTAAATAACATTTATGATGAACAATTGTCATGTACTTATATGATTAACTGGCATATGCTAAAAATAATTTCTCACTCTTATTCAGCTAAGAATGAAGTACTACATAAGCCAGTAGAACAGAAGCCTATCACGTATTTTATGAAATGTAGTAATTTTATGGAAAACATTCAAAGTAAACAACAGAGTACTGTCCTATTAACTCAAATTGTCAAAAATAATTGCAAATTCTTGCCAAACTCTTAATGAAAAAATGTTTAATTATTCTTTTATAGTCTTCCCTGACAGCAAACATCCAAGTAAGAGGGGGAAGAAAACTCATTTTTTGGTATCACCAACTTAACAACATGGGGAGTATCTTTAGCCTTGGCATCACTGTATTTCTTTCCTATTCCCAATATTAATGCTTGGCCCTTGCTGCAAAAAATGTTCTTAACTGCAAGCCAGAGTCTGCTTAGTTCCAATATAAATATTTAACACCCAATATCTTTTTTTATGACTATCCAAGAAACACAGATCAAACCATCTAACTCATAACTGCCAGGATCATATGGAACTTGACAATGATACCTGTTTGTAGTCATGCAGCAAGAGAACAAAGAAGATTCCTGAGAACCCTGCGTTTCCCAGTGGGATAACCTGATAACTAAAAATCTGTTCCCTCCTATAAAATCTGGTGTGAGCAGATTGGTGCATGATTTCAAAGAGATCTTGGATTCAAATAGAAACACTTGGTTTCATATCTTGCATTTGCATTGCTTGGTGGGAATCTTTGAGTTTGTGTTTTGCCTCTAACTGTATTTTATTACTAACAAAATAATGCATTTGCTTAAACATAGGAATCACAAGTGTCACTACACCAAATCATACAGTATGATCATAGAATCATAGAATCCTAGGGGTTGGAAGGGACCTTGAAAGAACATCTAGTCCAACCCCCCTGCCAGAGCAGGGTCACCTATAGTACATCACACAGGAACGCATCCAGGTGGGTTTTGAATATCTCCAGTGAAGGAGACTCCACAACCTCCCTGGGCAGCCTGTTCCAGGGCTCTGTCACTCTCACAGTAATAAAATTTTTTCAGATATTCACCTTGAACCTCCTATGCTCCAACTTGCACCCATTATGCCTTGTTCTATCACTGGTCATCACTGAGAAAAGCCTAACTCCATCTCCCTGACACTCACCCCTTACATATTTGTAAATATTGATGAGGTCACCCCTCAGTCTCCTCTTCTCCAAGCTAAAGAGACCCAGCTCCCTCAGCCTTTCCTCATAAGGGAGATGTTCTACTCCCTTAATCATCTTTGTAGCTCTGCGCTGGACTCTTTCAAGCAGTTCCCTGTCCTTCTTGAACTGAGGGGATGATTTCAGACCTGCTAAAATAATCTGGAAAATGAGAGAGATCTAACTTTAAGAAAGCCGTGCCCAATGACTGATTAATCTCTGTACTAGTCCTCCTTGATGGATATTGTGCTAAGCGTATTTACACTTTCTCTCCCATGCATTTTTTTGATAGAAATGTGGTAGTATTTAACACCAGCCTATGTCATATGGTGATTTGGAGGAAATTTCCACTGCCAGCATGTTGTTTTATGGAGACAATCCTTTCAAGTATGAGGTGTTGTACAATATGAATTGCTAGCATAAATGCTTAATGGTGTTCTCAATCACTACTGGGTCCCATGCAGGTTAATACCATTTTCTTCCTCTTAGCAAGTAAAACAGAACAGAGAAAAGTGTGTTTTATTCATTGAGACGATAAAGCAGAACTACTGTGGGTCAGTCTGAACAGAGCTACTTTTCAGAGAAGGAACACAACCAACCAGTATAAATGAGATTCCTTTGTAGGAAATAATCAAACCTGTTTTAAACTTGAATTTCACTCTTAATCAAAGGTTGACTGATATATGAACCAGCTATCAATCTTTGGAATTCTCTCCATTTAGGGTAAAAAGAGCCTGTGTCACAAAAAGTGCCTGTAATGTTTAAATGCTCTTTCACAGAAATTACTGAGAAAGATATAATGGATGCAATACATATGATGCAGAATGCACTCATGTTTGCATGTTTATGTACTAACAGAACAGGCATTCATCAAGAAATTACTATTTTCTAAAGAAAAATTAAAAATCTTTACTGGGGCATCCACTGAGGCTTCCATGGAAATAATGTGCTTCAAAAATAAATATTGCATAGGTTTCAGAAGACTAGTTATAATTGATACATTCTAGAAAACCTTGACATTTGCTTAATACAGTTTAGGCAGTCAAATAGAAATGATTGTGTACTCTCCAGACCAAGAAAGGATATCATGTAGCAAGCCTGAGTGCCACGTGTTCTCTGGGAATCTCCCATTCTAACTGTATAAAACACTGATTTCTAGCACTGAGAGGTCATGACATATTGTACCAGACACCTGTTACCAGTGTAGGACTCAATACTTAGGATGTTCTTGGCCTGGATCCAGAGTAATTTGGGGAAGATGAAAGAAACACCTTTCAAGGAGCTGATCCTGTTTTCTTTCTGCTTTTGAACAGCTGCTTAAAACTGCGCAGAGATTTAGAATGGTAGTTGTCTTTGTAGAACTAGGTTGGTAAACAGAATTCACTCAAACTTACAAAAAATGCAGAATAAATGCAACTGTATTGAACAGATTACTTCAGCTTTCCTTTCCTTTCCTCTTCTTTTTCTTTTTCTGTCATGATTGTACATTTAAGAAGTACCAAGTTGTTACTTGGGTAATGTACACTCATAAAAATATCAACCAACTTCTAACTTCCCTCAGAATGTGGTATTCATTACATTTAAACAAATGTATACACAGCAAACATAAATCCCCTCATGTTGCCTAATATGCTGAGATAAATCAGCAAGCAAAAATGATGTTAAGGAAAGAAGTGATACAAACTGGAATCCACTGTCAGTGTTCCTTCCAATATTTGCTGTGGGGATGCGAATAAATCTTAACAATGTGAATAGATATAAAGATCAGAAATTTTGCTAGATAAGCAGAGAAGTCTGAAATCTCAGAGTCTCCTGGTACAGCTCTGCAAGACTGAGATGTAAAATGTGTGCCAAATACATTAACACTCAACAGCCCAGTACACTCTCACAATGTTGAAAGGCAGCCTTGGTCATTGAAGAATTCAAAGTTGTCTTTGATCATGTAATACTCATTTAAGGAATCCAAAAGCAGACATCACTTTTTCAGCCACATCACACACACTCCCACTATGAATATTGAAATATTAGGACTGTGAAGAGAAGGCAAATGAGAAAACAAAGATAAACACATGCCCCCCACCAAAAAGATTTTGGGCATGACTACTGAAAGCTGTCCCTTGGCTATCAATCTGAGGAGGTCTAGGACACACCTGTCCCTTAAGACATCTTCTTGCAAAATGTTGTTTCTCAGATGAAGTACTTTCTATCTACATGTTCTGTACTGCTCAACCATTTCCACAAAGTGATTCAAGAACCTCTTTTAGTTACAAGTTAGCATGAAAGACAGTGTTTGAGAATTGCAGCCAACTCTATGCCAAAATTAATTTAAATAAAGACCCTTGAGAGAAGCAAGGGACAATCTGGGCAAAATATTCAGTGGTGGACTTAATGGGGATTTAGGACTATGTATAAAATAGAATGGGGCTGGTGCCAGGCATTTGAAAACATGAAGTGCTGATCCTTGAAATGGAAAACAGATGTTACAATTCAAGTACTAAATTATTCTATTAAAAATTGCAATCTATGTGGTAGAGTGACATAAATAATACAACATGACAGTAACTTGCTTCCGTTGCTTTAGCTGCATTGTATTATCAGGTACGAAGGCCACAGTTAGGAGTGGCAGTATATTAACAACATGCTCACTACAATTCATATTTAAGTGTAAGTAAAAAATTGTAAGAAAAGGGTCAGGGGCAGCTCTGGATGTACCACACCTAATCCAGCTGCTAAGAAACATTAAGCAGGGTAATGTGAAAAGAGTCATTAAGCAAGATGCATGGCCTAAAACACCACAAAAGAAGTGGATAGCAGAATATCTGGCTACTGGTGGGAGACCTGCTTTAACACTGTATATTATCAATAAATTCTAGTTCTACAAATTGCTGAGGCTACTGCTTATTAAGTTTTCTATGCTACTGTCCTATAAAACAGAGCTTCATTATATTTACTGCTCTGTTTGAGCAATACTACATCTCCCTCAAATTTACTTGATATAATCAGCTTGCTTGTCAAATTATGGGACATCA